TGAGGAGTGATCACAGATATGAGGAGTGATCACAGATATGAGGAGTGTGGTGACACAAGATAAATGTTGTAACTGTGGGGGACAGCATAGAGTGACTGTTGGAGGATGTGAAGTTAAGAAAAAAGGCCATTAAAGTGGAACAAATGAAAACAGTCAATAACATCAGCTTTGATGAAGCTGTGGAAAAAGTTCAAGGACAAACTGGAAGGAGAGAGATGAGTCTACAACAAAACCCAACATCCCAGTTACCAAAAGAGAGACCTGAACCTACAATTAGTGGAGAGGATCATGTTGTTCATTGCGTATGTGATTAACTGTGCACACCAGGTAAAGTACAAAACAGAGAAAATTAAAATAATAGTTAAAGTAGCAGAGAAATGTTTTGGTATAAAAGACATTTCATGGGAGCATATTAACAAAGAACTGGGGGGAAATGGGAAGTCAGGGACATCAGGAGAGGGGGCACTCTGATTATTCTACAGTGGAACGCTCCAAGTTTAATCACAAATGGACAAGAATTTAAAGGCTTCATTAAAAATCTTAACAACAAACCAGACATAATATGTATTCAGGAAACTTGGCTCAAAGCAACTTTAGACTTTGTTATTAGAGGATATACTGGTGTACGCAGAGATAGAAGTGAGACCCAGGGAGGGGGATGTGCAACATCTGTAAAAACAGGAATGCACTTTAGATTGTTAGCAAACGAAACTCATATAGAATATTTAGTTGTTGAAGTTTGGAACAGGAAGGAAAGCATTAAAGTAATAAATGTTTACAATCCTTGCAAAAGACTTTCACATGAAACAATGGAAGAACTCAATAGTTATTTAAATGGAAACATCTTTTGTTGTGGTGATTTTAATGCACATAACTCATTGTGGGGCACTAAGAATGATAGTAATGGAACAATTATTGAAGAATTAATGGAAAATAAAAATCTTGTCTGTTTAAACGATGGTAAGGAAACAAGAGTTGATATGAGAACAGGTATGGAATCAGCAACTGACCTCACAATAATATCAAATTCAAATAAATAAATAAAATTGGATATTGAAAAATATAAGACAGGTGGTTTGCAGAAATGGTGTTTTGGTCGTGCTGATTGGGAAACATTTAGACGTATAAGCGATCAGGAACTGGGAAAAATTAATGTAAATATGGAAGTTGATCAGTTAAATGTCTCTGTTTGTCATGAAATCATACAGGCTGCTGACAAATCTATAAAGAAGAAAGGAGGTGAGGGCTGTAAGAAGATTGTTCCATGGTGGACAAAGGAGTGTGATAAAGTAATCAAAAGTCAAAATAAAACTTTTAAAATGTTAAAAATAAATCACAGCTCCCAAAATCTTATTGAATACAAGAGATGTCAAGCCATTGTGAGAACTATAAAAAGTGCAAAAATGGATTATTGGAGGCATTTCTGTAATTCAGTATGAAGAGAAACTGGGATTAATAAAGTATGGACAATGATCAGAAGAATGAATGGGATTAAAAGAGAATATCCGGTATTAAACAATGGTCAAATTACAGCAGTAAAAGATGAAGAACAGGCAGATCTGATGGTTAAAACCTTTACTAACATACATAGTTCAGATACTATTACTTTGGAAGAGAAATGACAATGATAGAGAATAGAGATATAGTGGTGTATGTAGAGGATGGAAATGATCTATTAAATGTTACTTTTACAAAATCAGAACTAAATGGAGCCCTACAGAAATTGAAGCTAACAACACCTGGGAAAGATCAGATTTGTTATTTAATGGTGAAACATCTTACAGAATCCTCTAAAGACATTTTATTGGATCTTTATAATAAAGTTTGGGAGAATGGAAAATTACCACAGGGATGGAAAGAAGCAGTGATAATACCAATACACAAGCCAGGCAAAGATGAGACAAACCCAGAACATTACAGACCGATTAACATCTAATATATGCAAAATAATGGAGAAAATGATTAATGACAGGTTGATTTACTATATAGAATCAAAATGATATATGTCACAATATCAAAGTGGTTTTAGGAGAGGTAGAAACACCATGGATTCAGTTTTAATTTGGAATTTGAAATCAGAAAGGCCCAAGTTAAAAAAGAGAGTATTGCAGCTGTGTTTTTTAATATTGAAAAAGTGTATGATATGATGTGGAAAGAAGGTTTATTAATTAAAATTAGAAATATAGGCATTACAGGACGGATGTACAGATGGATAAAAGATTTTCTTACCAGTAGACAAATACAAATAAGGATAGGAAACCATTATTCTGAGAAACACATTGTCGAAAACGGAACTCCACAAGGGTGTATAATAAGTCCTTTATTGTTTACAATAATGATAAATGATGTGTTTCAAACTGTAGATACTGGGATGGGTTTTTCTCTTTTTGCTGATGACGGAGCAATGTGGAAGAGGGGAAGGAACTTCTAAGAGTTTATTACTAGAAAAATGCAAGAATTTAGTTCTAAAGTTGAAAAATGGTCATACAAGTGGGAATTTAGATTTTCGGTAGAAAAGACTAAGATTAATGTTCTTTACAAGGAAAATATATGGAGATGATATTAAACTAAAGTTATATAACCAGGAAGTAGAAAAAGTGAAGCAGTTTAAATTTCTTGGGGTCTGGTTTGATGAGAGGATTACGTGGAATATACACGTACAGAAAGTTTTAGATAAATGCAAGAAGGTGTTA